TAGTGGAATTCACTGGACATAAGTAAAATAACTAAAGTAGCATGTAAGAGGCTGGGTTGGAAGTAGTGAGCAGATCTGGAGTATCTGAAGTCCTGAGGAGGAATTACTCTTCTGTTGTCATCTTGGGTGGCTGGCTCAGTGTGCAGTTGTTTATTCTTAGCTCCTGGCTGTGTCATGCTGCCATAAGATGGAATGGAAATCTAAAAGGAAGGCAAAAGCTTGAGGCTGGAAGTTTGGTGTATCATATGTCAATGTGGAATAAATAGTTTGGACAATGCTGTTGAGGAAAGGACACCTAAATTATAAATATGAATGGAGGGTGTTCAGGTTTTCCAATCTAGCGTGTCTCTCTTTAAAACATAGCTCAGGGCACGTACCGCAGTATACCTCCATGGCAGCAGGGCTTAAGAGTGTACAGAAAAGATGGTCTGTATGCATGTCTTAAAAATCACTTGTTCCCTATCCTCTGTCATTGCAGACTTAATATAAGTAAGATAAAGTGCAATTCCAAGGTGGAAATGGTTTATTAGTGACATATTTATTAAGCAGAAGGTAATAATAATAATTTCTTAACATGAGCAGTCCCTGAAGGAGGACTGACGGGGCTGCTGGAGATGTCAATGGTAATGTAAGACTAAACTTACATTTCAGATGTAAGATTATGTTGCAAAGATTTAATCAATTGAATTAAGGAATTTGTCCCTATGCTCTTCTCTGATGACAGTTTTAAATATTTGTCTGATGGTCTGAATGAGACATTTGGAGTGGAACGGAAGGATGCTGTCCCTTAAATTAAAATCAAACCCCGATCTTTGTTGTTTTCAGTCAAAATCAAATTAATTCATTGGTTCACCTTCATGAATAGCTATTAAAATTTAAACCTGCCTTCTTCATACACAAACTTGTTTTTCTTGCTTAATGCAGAAACAAGTCCACATGGAATTAAATGATAATCAGGGTTGAACTTGACATGCTTTTACTTACGGTAAACCACTTTTTAATGCATTTTTTAATGCATTTTTTAATGTGATGATCCTAACCATTTAAAATTGTTCAGACAACCTTTTCCCTTCTGCAATCTTACTAAACAGCTGAGAGAATACAGCAAAATCCTTCCACAGGAAAAAATTCCATTAGGTTCTAACATGACTTGATGCCTGGAAGAAGGATTAGAGCCTGCACTGGACAGGCAGTGAATTCTGTTTAAAACACAGATACTTAGTCTGAAATTCTAAAAGCATTTCCTTGTTAAAACTTTGTGCTCAATGTTTTCTTATGAGCTTGCCTCTGCAAATTTAGAATGGATTTCCTATGCCAGATAAGCCATTTTTGATTAATAATAGAAATGTCAGATTATGTTGGGGAAATAGAAGATGAATCTGTATCTTTTCCATTTACTAGAAACAGTATTGAAGAAAACAATGTTTTAAGAATTCTGATTTTAATTTTGTTATTTATTTTATAGCCTATCTTGTCTTTTGGAATTGGTGGATTGGCTATTCTGAATGCCGGTGTTCTCATTTTCTGTGGAGAAGAGAGGAGTGACTTCTCTCACATGTTGTCTTTATTATGTCAAAATCTTGCAGAGAATTTGGGATTGCCTGACTCGTTGTTTCAAATTGGCTTTCACATGCCCTCACATCATGGAGCACTTTGCACAAATGGATCAAGCTTTAACTTTAGGCAGACTGTGGGGGTTTTTTTAGGTGTGGATGTGTTGTGTCTGCACAGTCAGTACTTAGTGTGTACTCCCAATATTGTTACAAGGATGCAGAGTTACAGCATCTCTTTAATGTGTTTAAATGGCCTCAAATAACTATTTTTCTCATACATTTTGACACAGCTGAATGAAGACCGTTGCTTTCAATCACATCAGGTTCAGACTGGTGCTGGTTTGTGCAGGTTGAATTTATTTTGTTTCTAGATACTCAGTAATAGTTTGTGCATTCAAGACCTTTTTGTGTTAAGGTGTTCTTTTCAAAAGCAGTTAGTGGTTTGAGGGATTCTTTAATTTTATTTCTTCATTTTTTTTCTTTTTCTCTGTGTGCTTTCCTTAATATTAGTCTTTTCTTGTCTGGAGAGTTGACATAGACTATTACAGTAAAGATTGTAAGCGTCTGTGATAAACAGGTTTTTAAACTTCGTAGTTTTTACCGCTGTAGCATTTTAGGGAGGCATATGGAATCCTTTTCTTAAACAATTTGAGAGAGACCAGACAGAAAAGTGAAGAAGTTATATCAAAATTCTTACTCCAATTCCCTCTTTGCCTACACTTCAGAAAAGGTTTTCTTAAATGTTCCTCACACTTTTTAATTTTAAAGAAAACTACATAAAGCACAGGTCTTTTTGGTTCACGGATAAGCCATGGTAATGAGTTACTGCAAGGTGATAAGCTGCAGAAAGCATGTTCTATATACAAATATGTGAAAGTTGTATGGCATTTCTGTAAATGCTACTTTGTTCATAGTTGCTGTTAAAAAAACCCTAAACTTTTGGGAAGAAGTGTGCAATTTCCACTTGGGAGAGTACTTTTTATTTAAACAAAGCGATTGTTTAAATTTAGTCATTTCAGGCACAGTTCATAAGCCTGTACCAAAATACCGACATCGGGAAACTCATCAGGTAGCTTAGATTTGTCATTTGGTTTTAAATATTCAATAGGTCATTTCAGCTTGAGTAAATACTATTTTCTTCATACTATAGTAATCTGTTCTCTACTAGATTTCACTGTGATAGCAGGACATTATTGCATATGATTGTGTAGGAACAAACTATTTCATAGTTTCATATGCATGACCAGGTATTTGATATTATTGTCTGTTTATTATCATAAGCATCTGAGCAAAGCCGCTTTCTTGGTTTGTTACCTACAGTGGTGATGAAAGGGCTTCTACTGTAGCCTTGATCAAAACCCAGATTCTTTTATTGGAAGGAAGGAGGAGGGGAAAGAAGTTTACTCTTATCAAAACAAAATAAGCAACAACTACAACAGGGAAAGTGTATTTCTGTAACCCCAAGTACGTTATTTATTTGTGGCAAGTGTCAAGATGACACAAACCTAATACATCTGTTATCTCTGAAGATGTGTCTGACTTCACAGAATTGTATTGCCAAGAGAATTATCCGGTCCTTCAGTTCTGTGTTGTCTAAAATAGCCATCTTTCAAGGTGTGATTAATACACATTGGCAGTCCCTAGGACATGAGTAATTGTGGCTAATTCTAAAGTGAACATATGAGGAAGAAGGGCAGCGTGTGATGGAGCAAGGTGCTGTGAATTTCTTGCTAAGTGTTTGGTGATTTGTCCTGTGCAGAGAAGGTATGGCATTGCTTGCACCTTTCTTGGGAGATCTGTTTGGTGTTCTGCAGGGAAGATGTGGCTAAAGGACGTTTTTCCTTAGACTGTGATTAGCAGTCACTTGCCAATAATCAGCAGTTGCCACAAACTCCACCCTGCAGTTCCTGTTTCACTTGCAGGAATATCTTAGCTGTCTATTTCAAATTCAGTCATCGTCTTGTGGCCTTTCTGTTTATAGGTCAGGTCTTTTGTGACCAAAGCTTCCACTAGGAAGCTCTAAATATTTCGTGAGAAATATGAGTGGAATCATTGTTTTCACTGTTGGTTTTTTTTTTATTGCTTAGTAACTTTAGTTATTTTGTGTGTATCTTTAAAAATTCTTTAAAATCCATTGATGTGCTAATTAATTCATATATGACATTTGAAAATAGAACAAAGCATCTTATTCAGCAGAGTTCTGGTGCTTAACTCAATGAGCACAAAGGTGAAATGAGTTTGTTTACTTCAGAGATGCAGCAGGTGATGTTTTAATGATCTTGCACACTAATCTCTAGCAACTTTATAGCTTCCTCTGAACAAGTTCAGCAGTAACTTGTGCTAAACCTCAATCAGATTGAAACCCAAGTTATTTTCTAGCAGAAATTGAAACCTGTCATTTTCAAGTACATGATGCTAACCTTTGTTTTCTTAGTGTAATCAATCTTCAGATGAACAAAGCAACCAACATGCACCTTAAAATCTTGAAAGGCCAGTAGTTTCTGGGGATGGGATGAAGGGTGCACAAATTGCAGATCTGATAATAACTAATTAACGCTCCCAATTGCATAAATTCTCCCTTCCTAAAAGCTTGGGCTTCTGTCATTTTCATAAGCATTTTTTATACTCTTTTGCAAGAACGAAACTTTAAAGCCACAGCAGTTTGTCCTGACAGTCAATAGGCTGCTAAATGTAAAGAGATCTTGTGTAACTTGCATTTAAATCCGAAGGCAGATATGAATGTAGGTATATGTGCACCGGTCTTTTTGGCGAAAGGCCCAATTATGTCTGTCCTGGGAAAGATTGTCTTGGGCAATCCTTAGAAGGTAGAATGAAGCATTACATTTTGCTTCTGTGAAATTCTTTGTGATGAGCAATATAGTTACAGGTGATTTCAGTTTTGATCAAGTGCTGATGTAAACAGTAGATTACATTTATGAGACGAAAACTAACCACTGCTCTAGATTATATTAAGATTTAGAGAAAGCTCATCATGGAAGACATGCTAGAATACAGTGACAATAGTACTCTGTAGTTCTTTTAAGCAAAGTAATTTATCTTAACATACATGGATTAAAAAAATCAATGTTTTCTGCATCTCCATGTCAATAAGTTGTAATGATTTTTTTTTCCCCCCACTGCTATGGCAGCTTCATTATTTCGGTGGAAGTACTTTATATACACCAGCAAAGTAGCATCTCTGATCAGTGGGTTACATCTGGAGTCTTTGTACCTCAATAAAATTCCCCTTCATATTGTTGTTCATACATATGTAATATAAAATAAAGCTCCTTCAGTGCTCAGCTTTTAATAATCCTGTTCATAATTAAATCTGACTAAAACATGCTTCTACATTTAAGTCTTGTCATAAAAACATTTTGAATATAAACCTTCAATACCCAGTAGAGTAATACTAATATATATATATATGCACACACACACACACACGCAAATGCACTTTTTTTTTCTGTTAGTAGAAAGCATTTTGTTCACTGTTTGCACAACTTCACAGTCATATGTTTTATACAGCTACTCCTAAATCAGACTTCTGATTGCTCATTACTGTCAGGAATGACAGATGTGAAGGCAGCCTGACAAAAGCGATGCAATGTTGACATTTTTGTTTTCTGTTCAATGTACAGTCGCAGTTTGTCTCTGAAGGTTTCCCCTAGAAAACTGTAAATTAAAGGGTTCAAACAGCTATTAGAAAAAGCTGCTAGGTTCACAATATGTCCTGTTAAAGGATAATCATGTCTGAAGGATGGGCTGCTTGAAGACACAGGCTCGCTTTTCTTTTGAAGAAGTTGAACACTAATGAAGACGTTTTCAGGTAGCCAGCAGATAAAGAAAACCAAGACAACAACAAAAATCATTCGAAGAGCCTTCTGTCGCCGCAGACGAAGACTCCTGTGCTTGTGGGCTTTTATAAGAACTCGAACAATTAGTGAGTAACAAAGACCGATGATCACAAAGGGGATAATAAACCCCAAGGTTATTTCTAGCCATTGGATTTCTTTTACATCTGCAAAACAAAAATAGACCTCTCCGGTGTGTTGTAAATGCACAGCTGTAAATGGAACTAGTGCTGCAGAAATAGATGCCATCCATATGAGACCACAGCTTATTCTAGCGTGTTGCATAGTGCGAAATATGTTGGACCTCATTACTTTTGCCAGTGCTATGTATCTGTCAAAACTCATCCATGTCAGAAAGAAAATGCTGCTATACATGTTGATCTGAAGGAACAAAGACATAAAGGTACAAATAATAGTGATATCGTAATACTTTTCATCAAGATTAAAAACCTCAATAAGAGAATCAGCAACTAAAATGAGATCAGCTACTGCAAGGTTTATGAAGTAAAGGTCTGGAATAGTCATTTTTTCACGAAAGCTTATGTTGACAACCAGTATCAGAATGTTTCCTACAAAACCAATGGGAAAAAGAAATATTGTGTAAAGACATGATAAGAAAAGACCAATAACATATTGTTGGTGTTCTGATTTGTCAGCTAATCTAGAAGATAAGCTTTCATTACACAAATGTGATCCATTTAGGTTGAAAGCTGTGCCATTACATATAATGGGTGATAATGAGGCAGAGTAAGCTTCCATGGTTGAAATATCTGCGGAAAAGATACTAGTACTCACAGTTTGGTGGTAATGCCAAAAAAATCAGGGTTTTTGTTGTTTTCAGCCAAGTTCAAGGTAAGCATTTTGATTGGATTGAAAAAAGATGTACACTTTCATTTAGGAAATTAAAATTCTTTAGAAAAATTAGTTAACATTGAAATATAAGAGTACATAGAGTAAATTTCTTAAGGTTTTTTTTTTACAGGATGCTATATACATCACAAATGAGAGAATTTGCAGTTCCTGTATGCCTTAAAATCATGTAGGAATCTTTTTACCATTATGGTACTTGGGTCTCTGTAACAAAAGCTTTTCATCAACGGTGTTTCTTCATGCAGGCTGGAAGGTAGAGTTTTAGCTCCATTTGTTTTCTTTTAATACTCAATGAACATCCTTGGACCTGCAATTTGTAAATGGAAAATGATTAATCTCATAATCCAGCATTGTACTACGTGCCATAGGCTTCTGCTAACTTAACATCCACAGATGAGGTTGTAGAAAACATCATGTTTGAGTATATATACAAAGGTTTAGTTAAAATTATTTCATTTTGCTCTAGATTATAGTATGTCATGAGGGCAGATCTGGAAAAATTTTGTGTGCTGTCAGTATTGGAAAATGTAAAAATAGAGAAAATTAGATGAGTGAGTTTAGTCAACAGAGGAAAAAGCCTTATCTATGTTTATATATGTGTGTGTATATGTATATATGATGTATATATTTATTTCGTCATCATCTTGTAAGGCTGTTAAGTAGCAGTCTGTGTCTGAGAAGGCAACAGATAAAAAGCAGTTGGTTCCTCCTGCTTTCAGTAGGAAGGAAAGTCAAGTCTTGGAAATAAAGGTAATACAAGCAGCATATTGATTTACACCAACACTATTATACTCAATTTGCTTTTCTTTGGGATTAATTATGTTGCACTGACTTCCGGATAGGAATGGAAAATACCAGTTATCTGATTTGTTTACTTATATGCGGTGAATGGTATGGACTTAAAGGATTGCTGGAAGTTTATTTAAAAGGAATAAAACAAACAAAAGACACCGCAAACAAATAAAACAGCGATAAAATTATAACTCAGGGTACTGTGTGTGAAGTTTTAAATATTGTGAATTGCTTTAATCTTCATTTTACTCCCAAACCCTTGATTTTAATGACACTAAAACATAATAAAAAAAGTTGAATTGTTTACTAGTAAAATTCATGCATATTTCCACATTTTAATGACTCAGTTCCTGCTAATTTACAATCTGGGGGAGAAAAAGGAGCAGACCACTAATGGAGCAGGAGTGTAGAATATTTTCAGTCAGAAATACAGCTCTGAGTTTGCTTAAATGTATTCCTATTAACAGAAGTAGCTAGCAGACACTTAAAGAAATAAAGGTTATCGGTTCCAAAGCTTTTATTTCTTAATGAAACAGGCATAAGTACACAGTAGCTGTTGCTGTGTTTTAAATCATCATTATAATGTCAATCTTTATGTTAAAATATCCATATGAAGTTACACTTATTTGAAGCAAGCTTGGTGTTTGTTTCAAGCAGCGATGGGCGTCAGACATGAGCTGTTGGTTTTTATGTAACATCCTTTTATTTTTGAATAAGGCAGTAAAACTGCTTTAAATACAAGACAAGTTAACAGTCTCAGCAGTTGATTTTAAAAGGTTGGTCTATGGTCAGGTTTTAGTTACACCTGAAAGGCCACCAAAAGCCAAGCAATTACAAGCATTACAGGTAACCATGTACTGTGAAACACTTTATTTTACCTTAATTCCATTTCTGCAGAGCTGATTTTTCCTCCGGTCAACAGAAGGCTGTTTCTTGCTCTGGTACACGCTTAATAGATGTGCCAACTTCAACAGTCGTGTCCGGGAGAACTTGCATTTAGGTGTGTAAAGCTGCAGCGAATGCCACCTGTTGATGATGCAGCAGTAAAAAACATCATATAAAAGTCTATTCTGCTTTAAAATGTCTTAAATAAAGGATAGTTTACAGCAGCAAAATGCAGATCTTGCTGCATGTCCTTGGCAATAAAACAAGCTTTATAGATTCCCAGGGTTGTTCTAATTTGTGTGCAGTTGAAGTGCTGCTGAACAGCCTTATAAGGCTAGAATTAACCCTGTTTCTGCTGGTTTCTTTTTTACTAGGGCTAGTCAAGCATCTTTTCTCTCATATTTGCTCATTTTATTGTACCTTATGTTCATTTCATCCTCCTTTCTGCCCCTAGCATTTTTAAAGGTTATGTAGTTCATTCAAACCTACAGCTCAGCTGATCAATAATGAAGAGATTTATTTGCTGATAGTAACTAAGCGTGTTCTACATAGATAAAAAGCAATAGTTGCTGTTATATGCAGTATGATTTTAAAAGCCCCTGGACTATCCAAAGAGTGATATTCTATTGAGAGTAATCTAGCAGCTGCAAAGGGTCATTTGCTGAACTGACAATATAAATTCCAGTTTTCCTACCTTCAAGTTGATCCCATTTTGCCTATTTGTATTTAAATTTTCAGGTATACATCATCATCCTCATGTTTCTTACGATTGCTCAGCTGAAAAATCACATGGATAAAACAAGCCTATTTTGCAGAGAATGTGGAGCCTCAGCCTTGCATAAACCCACCAGTGTTGCAGGTGGAGTTTTGCATTTCATCTGTAGGGGGGAAAAAAATCTACTTGACATTTCCAGAAACACCACCTGCTGGTGGCCAGGGTTCTTAGAACAGGAAGAAAGTTAAACCTTTCTCATAAAAGAAATAATTTCTGTAAATTGCTTTTTAGGATGACACTGATCCAATTCCCGAATGTTAAGTGCCATAAATGGATATGCTGAAATGGATATGCTGTACATTGATGCATTGTTCTGCTGCTACAGGAATAAGATGAATTGGATTTCAGCATTTAGGATTTCAAGAAGACAGCGTTACAGTTTCAGAAGTGTGGAGTAAACAATTAACAGGTCAGTGTAATGGATGTGTTACATCTATTACAGTGGCCAAATATCTTTAGATTACAAAAGATCTCATCTATAGGAAAGTGAAGCAAAAGTTCCTTACACAAGTGGCTTTGGGAGTAGAAGGCACTTTGCCTTCTAGTGCCGTTGAGGCAAATACGTGATTTGCTGGCTTTTTGTGGAACACAGGATTTTTGCTGTGTTACTAAACATGTTTTTAAAGATGCTCGTACATGATTGCTGTCTACAAGTAGGTTTGGGATAAATTATCATTTAGCCAAAAGAAACCTTGCACAAACTAGTGCTGGTAAAGTGCTGAACAGACGACTTTCCCTGTGTATGGAATGGTTTTCTGGAGTGTCTTTCTGCAGGGTTATAAGGACGGGAGCCTCAAGTGTTTTGCTTTGAGAAGTGTACATATATGTTTGCATTGTATACTGGAATAATTGTGCTGTTAGAAAAATCTTGTGATACCAGCTTTGAAGATCTTGATTTTTTGCTGTCCTAAAGAACCCTAAAGGGTTATAAAAAGCTTTTGTTGTTTGCCGATCATGTGGTTTTGCTGTACTTAATTCCATCCTTCAGAGCTTTTACTGATCTTGTAAGGGCCAGAAGGATTTTTTACTTTCCTTTATAGCTTCTGGGTGTTAGTTGTTTGTAATTTTGGCGGCCTGGATTTGATAATCAGCTGGTCTCTCTGCCTTTGGTTTTCTACCTGTGAGTATCAGCTGATTTGCTATTAAAATGTAATATCCTGAGTGCTATTTTTCTGGTTTGACTTCATGGTAACAAATATGTCACTGCCATATTTCCAGAATTGTTAGGAAATTCTCTTCTGAGAGACCCGTGAAGCAGCTGCTTTTCCTGCTAGGAGAACTGTGAAGCATAAGAGGCCAAGTCTAGTATTACTATATTGTAACTAGTTTTTAAGTAAATATGAGATGATCACGTGAATCCTCTGAATCCTGTTTCCTAAACCAGATGGCAACATATTCAGGGTCATATGCAGTCAAATTATTGTTATTGATTAATCTAGTTTAATCTCCCTGTTCATCACTTCCATATTCCATAAAATGCTTAAAATTCATTTCAGCAACTGCTGAACATTGAACTCTTCTTCCTTCCCTGTCAATTGCTGATATTCCATGGGACTTCATAGGGAATGCAGTAATGATCCATTCTGATTCACAGTTGTGACAGTATTAACCATTACGGTTCTGCCTGTCATACCTTACCTTGTTTGTTGCTAAAATGTGTGAAATGGACTGATGTGATAGCATTTGTATGATGTCAGACCTCAGTAATCCAGCATTTAAGATTTTCCTTAAATAAAGGAAATTAAGGTTTATTTTTAAATCTGTAGTAGACAACTTCTGTATATATCTCAACATGTCTATGACTGTGGAGTCTTTAAGGAACACTAATTGTCTGTGATGTACTTAGATGCACCAAGAAGCTAAAAGTGGGTATAGCAAAAGATGTTCTATATAATTTAGCAGGCTTCAACATACGGGCCTGCTGTTGTGTTGCAAAAAGGTGAGAGCTGAGGAGGAAGAAAGTGTGAGGTGTGAGTATAGAGGAAATAGAGATGCTGTTACAATGTCCATGAAGTTTTTTGAGTAGATGGATCTCATCCTCCAAATTCTCTCTTATCTTTCTGTTACATGAATACTGACTGTGACCTTTTTCAGCCACTGAATGACATCTGGTTGTGTCCGTTACCCTGTTTTAGAGCAGCTTCACGCTTTATCCTGTCCGTTCTCAGTAATTTTCCCTTTCTTGCAAATAATCAAACTTAGTTTGACTTGGAATTGTGTTCTATGCCCGCAGAAAACCTTGGCTAGAGTGGATTTTGTGTTTAGGCATTTCAGTTGCCAGTAACTCCGAGAATGCATTTTTCTTACTAAAAATAAGTTTTAGAAGTTCAGCCTTTTCTTTGGCAGGGGCAACGCCCTGTAAACTATTTTGGTAAAAAGTTTTTCTTTTTCTTAAAGTGTATATTGCAAGTCTCTTGGGGATAATATAAAAATTTTACAAAACTGGACCACAAAATGTTGTCGAGTGAAAGGTGATTCATCACAGGACTTTAGGCTCTATCCAGATACGATGAAGAAATACAATCTGCAAAGCATCAATGGTTTTCACTTTAGTTGTGTCGTCTGGCAGCCCTTTGCAGGGCACTTGTACCCACATGGAGGTGAAATGCGTTCTTTGATTCTAGTCAGTGGTAATTTGTCACACAACATGTGTAATGTAAATGTTATATAGAGTGCTTATTTTAGCTGAATTGCTTTAGCTTTTGCCTTACCCCAAAACTTCTGCAACTACCTCAAAATCAAGATAAGTAATGCTGTAGCCCTTTCAGGGTTTGTATGTTTGAAATTAGAATGTAACTAGGGCTTAGTAATACATGGGCGTAGCAGCTCAAGTTTTGATTCAAGTGTGCAAATCCAATCTCTCTTTAGCTCAGATGTTGTTTTGCAGTGGGATAAGAGCAGATTTGAGTCAGCTGGCTTAGCAAGATGAGTCTCTACATGTTCTTTTCCAAAATGTTACCAACTCAGAAATTCATGCTGAAACTTCAGCAGCCAGCTCATTTCTTTTACTGAATGGAAAGGTTTATTCAAAAGCAGGCCAAAGTCTTACGAAGAAAGGAGTATTACCAGTGCCGAAGTAAAATATTCTTCTTTGAATTTTCCAGTGTATTCCTTCAGTTAATTTTGACATCTTGCCTATAAAAATATATGCTCTTTTTCTTCTGGAACATACTGTTCAAAATTAGGGGAGGCCTGGAAGCAGTAAGCGTTCAGCAAAGCTGTTGCTGTTGTAGGGGAAAGAAGTTTCTCAGAGCAGGGACATTTTATTTTGTTAAAAATACAATTAAAATTATTAGTTATTTTTAAATTATTACTTTTAATCTTAGTCAAAGCTGCTCTTTTCTCCCTTGTGTCAAGTTGTTTTAGAATGCCTTTTGGGGACAGTTTCTGTTCCTTCCTCTATTGCACATAGGGGTACTTGTGCTCATCTAGTTGGGTACAAGTAGGTTTTTGCTGGGATGGTACATTCATTGTCCTGAATCTTAATGTAAGCTCTGTGTAACTATCAAGAATGATTTAGCAGAACATTTTTGCACTGCTGGAAGTTAGTTTATAACTGTTTGAATTATTTTAATGCATTTTTCCACCTCTTCTCTGCTGTTTACTCTTGTTTTCTCCTATTCAAAGTCTTTTCATTGCACATAGAGATTTCTTTATGACAATATAACTGGCCATCCAGAAAATACTCTTTTCCCCATGACAGTAGACATGGACAGGAAAGAGGCAAGAGTACATTCACTCGCACCTCACAGACTTCAGCCAGGAGCTATATCCAGGATAACACAGACTTGGTCATTCTTGATATATCAAGATATACTTGTTCCCAGATCCTAGCTCTGACAGTAAGGCCCTACTGGTTTTATTACTTTGAGACATTTGGTTATGGGTGTGCTTCAGCTGTGTTCCTTGCTGAGAGTATCAGGAAGCATCATCCTTCCACCTGTGTTGAACCTTTAGGTTCCTTACAGATTCACTCATTGTTAGACCAGTTTCCAGGTCCAGTGAGCATTAACTAAAGCCAACATTTACTAGCTTTTCTTTTAGGCACCTTTAACAGTAACTCAGAACTCAGAAACAACACAATATTTATTCTTTCATCCTCAAATATAAAATATATAGAAGCAGTGGATAAAGTAGAATCCTTTGAGCATAATTGCCGCACTGGAAAATAACCTACTTATCCATGGCGTAGCTGAAACTATGATGTTCATCTGAATTGTGATAAACAGCTCACATCTTCTTCCATCCTCTTTCATTCAGTCTGTCAGCTTTTTCACTGATGTACAGTTCTTGGAACTCGTCTCTTCAAACTTCTTTCTGCAGGGCTGATATTTGGTCCATGTTGTTTAATCTCCTCCTTCTCAGGTGCAAAACAAAATCTCTGATGCCAGCTGAGAAATCCTTTCACAAGTATGACATTGGGTCTTGGATTCAAAGAGATGATTATCTACGTACTTCCTTTCTGACCAGGTTCTATAATGGTCTGTTTATATGTAGTGTCCTTTAATTAGCCATCTGTTCATGCTGGCAACAGAACAAAATTGAACAGGAAAACAGGCTGACTTAATACAGTGCAGACATCTTACCAGCTGATTTTTGCATCTCACAGAAACATTGGTTCTTATGGTCATAGCTGACTGAAGACTACGTATTGCCCTTTATTTGCATGTGATGCAGTCATGGTCCATACATTTCAGGACTTGGATGTGTAAGACTAGATCCATATATCTAAATACTGGGTCTAGAAACTGTTACTGTTGATCAAATGTAATTCTTCCATTTATGCACTTAGTTGTTGTTTTACAGAAGATGTTCTTCTTGACTGATCAGTGCTTGCTTTGTCTCGGGCAGCTTGTGCTCATTTGCACCAACTCTCTACACAAATCTGGACCCTGTCAGGAAGCCCTTTCAAAGCATACAACTCCAAAAGCAAATCTGTCACTTCCATTAGCATGCAGGTGTTACGCAAAGGCACATATTTAAGGATAAAAGTGGCTTTTCTCAGAACCCTTTAGGTCACTTGAGCTTTCCTCATCACGCCAATATAAGTCTTCATCTTTATAGAATTACAGAATCACAGACTGGTTTGAGTTGGAAGGGACCTTAAAGATCATCTAGTTCCAACCCCCTGCCACTGGCAGGGACACCTTCCACTGCTGCCCAGAAAAGGATTGTCCTGGAAGGTGGGGGATCTGCAGCTTCTCTGGACAACCTGTTATATTGTCTCATCACCCTGCTAGTGAAGAATTGTTTCCTAATGTCCAATCTCAATCACCCCTCTGTCAGTTTAAAGCCATTCCCCCTTTTCCCGTCACTACATGCCCTAGTACAATTTTCGAACTTCCCTGTTGTTTCAGTTCCCTCCAGCTCTATGAGAGGAAAAGCTGAAACTAAAACCAAATGTCTAAGATGCTCCTGACCAAATTCAGTTACAGTAACAGTGTGCTCAAAGCAAGCGTTTAAAACTTTGCACCTGCATCTCGGTCTGCATTGGCTGCTGATTCTGCAGGGCTACAACTGAACCCCTATACCACAGCTGTTTTATTTGCTGATTCAGATTTTCTTCCCCATTTTGTACCATTTACACAGGAATTCTAAACTAAATGTATTATGCTCCTGTCTTGTCTCTAGCAGAGCCCTGATTTCAGTTTGAAACTTGGGTTCTGCCCAGTTTCAAACATGCCTCACATCTACTGTTCTGGGCTGGCTTTTCGCCTGTTCTTTTAGTTAGTATATTATTGTGTGACTCTTCCAAGGCATCTTCATACTTCTGAATGAACTCATCAAGAATGCCTTAAATCAATAATTGCTCTAAGTCTTAATGCAGAGTTGAAGCTTAGAGTACATTAACAAAAACCTTTCATTCTTGCATAGAGTTTTAATTAGCCATCCTGTTGATCTTTCCAGTTCAGTGCTTCACAAAGGAGCTGAAGCTTTCCTTTATGGACCAGACTTTCCATTAATTTGAATTTTATTTCTTTTTTTTTTGGCACATGAATTCAGACAAAAACCTTAAGGGCTCCAATAAAAGTATAAGAGGAAAATGGAAAAAGGGAAGAAATGCTTAGTTTGTGTGCGTGTGTGTGTGTCTAAGCAAGTGCTACAGTAGACGTACAGTATTACATACTCTTTCAGGGTTATAATGGATTCTTAAGCCATACTTCACTGCTGCTGCTACTGGAATTTACCACTGTTATAAAAATAAGTAGTTTGTAGGCTAAGAAATCAGAAGCATCAGCACACCTGAGAAAATGCTTTGGCTGAAGATTTTTACCTTTGTTCAAAGTTGTTTTCTACTGTGTTTTTGCTTGCAACTTTGCTGGGGCAGTGGTGGTATTACAAAAGCACACTTCTATGGCAGCAGTACTTTTCTTACTACTTGGCTTTGAAGTAACACTGTAGGCGATTTAAATATATATATATGCAAAAAAAAACCTCAGACCTTACATGTTTTCTCATAGATCACTGCTAATACTAGCACTAAGAATCTTTTTTTTTTTCAGTTCAGAACTGCTAGTTGCAAGACAGTCCAAGTTTGGTTTCTAAAGAAGGAACAATTACCCTTTTTTGAAGAAGTGAAAAAAATGAACCAAAACCCACAAACTCAAAAGTAAAATGGATTGACAGTTCCTCCGAACAATAGGGTATTACTGAGACCCACTTTCATGGGTTGTAGCTGTTACTGGTATTTCCAGGTGATTGTTGGCAGTGTTTTTCCTTCGGCAGTTCTGGATGACTTTAAGTACTTCATCCTTGCATGGTTTATGAAAACAAAGTATAAGTACCAAACTAGCACAGCTCTCACAGAACAACACAATTTCTGCAATATTCATCACAAGCTCATTCTTTGGAGTTCCAATGCTCTTCTGTAGTTTGAATGTTGTCCTGAAGAGAAGCATAACGTTGTAAAAGAGACGGCATATAAATATCGTTATGCTTATAATATACGCAGCAGGGTAAGTACGAATGTGCTGTTGTAAGGCTGGAGCTTCAGCAGGTGCTTCTTTTGCGAAGAGAACAGTAAAACAGAGTATCTGAAGAAATGATGGGATTGCAAATCCAAAGGTGAATTTAATGATCTCGTATTCAGGCCATGCAAATAATGGATCTAACTGGCAGTCTGTTTCCAAGTGGTAGTTATCTGTGCCAACCAGTACTGCCTCAGTCAGTGACAAGCAGAAGGCATATATAAGTACAAATCCAACACACAATATGGGTCTTTGAGTTGCTTTGCTGAGAGCAGTCCTTGGTGGAAATCTCTTCAGTAATAGTATGAGAAGTGTCAGCAAGAAAACATACTGAGAATTGAAATAACTGAAGTTGAAAAAAAATGACAGTACGTTACACGCGAGGTGAGTTGCTTTTAAATAGTCAGGTCTAGTGATAACAGAAAATGATAAAAGAATCATTATAATATTGCTGATGGTGAAGGCTAGAAGAAGTAAGTCTAAGTTTTCTATGACCTTGTGCTGCACATAATTCTTTATGAAAATGATCAAAATACATATGCCAGCTATTAATCCTGTTGGTACAAAAAATGCGATGTAGCAGTGCATAAGTCTTGATATGATGTTTTGAGAAGCTATGAAGGCTTCGATTTCTTCTGGGGAGTTGAAAGCCAAATTCTTGCTTGGGTAGCTGATCCATGTCATGTTGTGAGAAGCCATCCTTCCCTCCACGCCGTGCTTATTTCCTGTTCAATGGAGTTTGAATCTGAAATGGAAAAGGAAGGTGAAACAGGTTTTAAAGTACAGTTTGTAACTTCTGCGTTAAATATGATGTGCAGTCAGGAGTCTGAACCATTTGTTCACAATAACTGTAGTATATTTTTTGTGGATTTTACGTTCCTGTGTTAATTTTAGGCTAACTTGCATAATATTTTTAGCCAGAGAGATCTGCCCTTTTATTTATCTGGCTCCTGCTCTCACCACTGCTCCCTTTTCCTCCCCTCGTGCAAACCGGACTTCACTGTGGCTCAGCCCTGTAGACAGCAGCCAGGATTCAGCGCTCTCATGTTGCCTGTAGAATAGACGGGGGAGTTGGCTGTTTGGCGGGCGAGGAAGCAGTTGGCTCTGGGATTAGGTGGAGCCACTTTTCCTCACTATCCTGCCAAAAAAGGGTAAGGACAGCTCCAGTGTGTGGGTTACAGCTACAGCCACAAAATAACTTCTCTGTGCTGTTGCATGGGTGGGAATTTTGTCAGAACCCAGTTCACAGTCTCATGGCTCACACTGAATACTGAGGAAAGTGCAAAGATAATCACAATATGAGGCAAGAGCCACATTCCTTCTTTGTTTGTAGTTTTGTTTCCTTTCTGGTATGAAAAAAAAAGCCTTTTGTGACAGCAGTCTGTACTGAGGAGCTCATATAGAATCAATGTGAATGCTTAAGAACTGTTATGAGCAAGCTGCTTTCATGCTAAAGCATCTTTATACATTAATAACACTGTCATTTTTAGATATAACTGTTGCATAAAACTCTGAAAAATAATGGTTTTCTGTATGCTTAAATTTGAGAAAATTATTACCAGTGCATTATAAACCTATTGATAAAGTTTTAGCAAGGAATATTTTTACAGCTGAGTTATAAATTCCTGAAAATAGGGAATTTTAAGAGTAATATGCATAGGCTGTTAGCAGTAATGACTCTATGATATGTTCATACAATAATTCTGCTACCATATAAATATTTGAAGGATTCTTTTTTAAGCCAAAAACCTTTGTAAGAGAACATAATATGTACTAAAGAAAAGCAAGATAATGGACTCATTATTCCTAATGAATTTTGAATTTCTGATTAAGTATGGTCCTTAGTACCGGAAAAAGTTAAACATACAGGCAGTTTTACAACAGTGTAGAATGTTGTTTTCTGAGAAAAAAAGAACCTTTTTTACTCACAAGGATTTCAATTTTGTGTTAAGTTAGAGTTTGGTGATTTTACTTTGTTCCGTTGTATGCAAAGCTAGTGTGTACAAGCAGTGTATGTAGACGGCACACCAGGCAAAGACAGGACAGCAGAGTTCTCTCGTACAGAAGCTTCTGTACAGTCATACTGGTAACAAGAGTGATATATTTAGTTGTACATAATGCATTTCCCATAAAAGGATTGTAGTGATGTTAACTCTTAAAGTGAAAGTAACTTTAAATTGGTAAAAGTTCATAACGTTGCATTAATGTTTTTAAGCAGTGTTCATTATAGATAAGTCAGCGTCTTAATACTGTTTGGCAATTCATTTATGGTTGTTACCTCTGACACTACTTCGTATTTCTGATATTTCTAATCTCTCCTCAAAATTGGAATTCTAATACTGGTTTTAATTAGAAAAGTTGACTTATCAAAGTGGCTTTGATTAAGTGTGTATATAATCTTATGTAATTATAATTTCATTTATATAAACCCATGGAGTTATGTTTTGATTCAGTGGTGTTCTTTGTCCCCTTTTAAAGACAGAGCTTCTTGCTTTCTAGAAAAGGTTATTTTTTGAGAGATTTCACTACAGGAAGGCCTCGTGCACCCAGGGAAGTTGGTTTTTGCTACAGGTACACTTGAAGGAGGGGAAAAGTTGGCTGGTCAGAACTCTGGCTGTGTTCTAACCTCTGAGCTGAGGTTTACCATATAGGAAAGCATTGATAGGCAGAACTGGTGGAAATCTCTGAAGCAAGTGAAGAATCAATATAATTTTGAAGCCTAAACATAGATTGTTAAATGTGAACAATCGTAAGGAAAACGGAATGAAAAATCTCAAAAATGACAGGTGTTGGGAGGAAATATTGTCTTCTTAATTGTGGAAATGTATGTTAAATGCTTGCAGTAGAGCATTTGTTTCTGTTCACCTGATGTTTAGTATGAACCACTAAGAAGGACTCAGTATGAAAGTACTCAAACTGAAGAGTGAGAATAATTAAGAAGAAAAAGCGCAAACTTAAACCACGCATGCCAAACCTCACAACTGTAGTTAACTGCTTGGCCTTTTGTATTTCTTCATACCAGTGATTTCCCCATCTCTTTCGAAATATAACTGATCTGATTTCTAAATTATGTAATACTGAAGCACTGGCGGGAGGAATCTAGAAAATTTCTCTGTAATTGAGTAGCAGCAGTGCTCTCCACTTCGCTTTGGTTCTATGCCTAAAAGTGATGCACTGTGCTATTCTGTTCAGACAGCTGCAGCCATGGAGCTTGACAGACTTGCTTTATTTCCTGGAAATCTGAAGGCCATGAAATTCTAACTTCTACAGTTTGTCTCTTCTTAAATACTTGGGAGAAATCTCAAGAATGAAGGAAAGTGAAAGTCAAATTTTGACCTTGTATTACAAGAGAGATTTGAAGCTTAATCTGCTGAAGGATAGGTAATTTGTGACTGTTAGAGAAAGTGGAACCACTTGAGCATCTGTAGAAAGCCCACTCCGTAGTTCCAGGAGGTTAAGAAATAATTACATTTTGAGCTCTTCCACCAGAGTTTCCAGTGTTACCTTCTAGTCTCATCAGGCCTTTTGGAGAGCTGAGTATTTGAATTTTGTTCTGTCACTCTGAAGGTCTTCATTATCTTCTCAATAACTTTTATATCATGAGCCAACTAACCGTGCTTACTGTCCTTGCAGAGACTCTCAGAATAACTTAGCAACATTCAGCTTTTATGGTAGCATAATTGCAAAGGAAACAAAGGACATTGTTTTGGGTTTCACAAGAAATCAAACTGCAGAAAAAACTGTGAGGCCAAAACTCGATTGAATTTGCTCAGGATCTGGCCTTGGTACTGACACTGGCTTCATTTTTGACCACAGGAAAGGATTTTCATTTTAGTTAGCTAATCTTTGGGCATTTAAGACAAAGAAAGGAATGTTAGACTTCATGCGGCACATTCCAGTAGTTGCAACTTAACTGCGTGAAAGTGCATCATCTTGTTTTCTCTTTCTGTACCCACTAGTTTGCATGTTGTGATATTTTAATGACAGACCATCACCATATTACATAGAGGCTATTGATGTGTTTAGGCTTCATTTGTCATAGGTGTCAAAATGAGTGCCTGAAATAGTTTCATTTGGGTTGTAATGCTCATAACCACAGATCGTTACTTAACATTACTGTCAAATAGTAGCAGTGATGTCAATACTACCCTGATTTTCCACCTAGACATTGTTATTCTAATATAAGTGTGTGTCTTTTGAATTGTCTCATCTGGTAAGAGCTTTAAACTAAAGAAGAGCCATGTATTCAACCTAGAATTAACATACTCACTTGGGAAATAACACTGCAACTGTATGTGTATAATCATAATCAGGGTATTAAAATTGTGACTTAAGGAAAGATTTCCAGGTGTGTTGTTTTAAAGGGAACTTCCAGAAGATCACCTTAGGATTCCCTCACAAACAAAATTTTACCAAAACAACAAGCTGTCTGCAGATTTGCTGTGGTTAGTCCATACGAGCATAATGCTTGCTTGAATTTAGTAGTGTGTTCATCACAGTGAAAGAAATATCTGCTAGTAGTTTGTAGCTTATTCTGAAATATTTTTTGTTTTAGCAAATAAGGTTAAAGTTAATGCAGATATTATTTCTACTCCCCCTTAAATTATTCCTAGAACGTTTTATCCTGCTTTAAAAATAATAGATCACAATGATAATGGCAGACTACTGTCTTATTTGGCTCTGGTGTCTCACTAATTATTTCAAAGAGAGGAAGTGCAATTTTGAGTTCAGGTTGTGGTAAGAAAGGCTCGTGTGCAGGTGTCTGCAATCGAATATGCCTAATACTTAATACAAGCTAATATAAATAGGTTCTTCTCTCTAACATGCTCACACTTAGAGATATATTTCTAATTTATGACCTTATCCTACAGTCTATTTCTTTTCAGTATTTGTCTCTTCATAATTATTTCAGTGAAGCTTCAGGATATATATATAGCACTTTACAAGATGCGTTGCTTATCAGCTCATGAAATTGCTGCATTAGGGTTTTCCAGGTGAGATTATAAACTGGACCTTATCAGAAAAATCTGACTCCTTTGCACGCTCTGCAGCTGATGGTTTGAGTTATAGTCACAGATGGCATAACCTCTCACTATGTTTGCTTACACTGGAATGGATGGCTTTAGGGACTTTAATGACGGTAAGGTGCACATCTACCATGGAAAGCAACTCTTAAAATTTCTAAGCCTATACATTTTTAAAACATTCCCAAAGTGTCTTGCACTGAAGTAAATGTATGCTTAGAATAATAATGGGATGGAGGAGCTTGCAACTTCTGCTGTAGTAAGATGAACATATTTGCAAATTTTAATAGACTTTTTTTGGTAGTACTTGTTTCATGTAAAATAAAAAGATAAGTTCCATGGGAGCAGCAGAGCACCAGGGTGTTTTATATTTCACATCTTTTATTTCAAAATCCCCATGCAGATGACCATGTTTTTCATTCAAATGCTTTGAGTTTCCATCATAAAAAAGTAAGGAATTTATTATGTCATTTTCATCTACTGTGAGAAAATCTGGTATTCCTTCAGTTCTTGTCTGGGTCTTAGATTTACTGCAGGGGCATATGTTTTATTTCAAAATGCATGTAATGTTTATGCTCTGCTTGGTGGGGGGCCATGACTCCTTTACTCTTTTAGAGGCATCTGTCAGCTTTGAGTGCAAACACCTTGAGACCTGAATGTGGGTTTTTTTTTTCCTCAGAACATACTATGAGGTAAACTGACTGTTACTTCTGTTTACTCACTGGTAACTGAGAGTAATATGTAGCGTGTCAAAGCTCACATATATAGAAGCTATGGCAGAAGCCAGGCCCATTCCTGTTCCTCCTAAGATTGATTAATAAGGGTAACTTGCAATATGCCACTTGCATTATTTGTCCCTGTATTGTCACGCTCCAATATTTTGTCTTTTCTTTAACTCTGTTTCCTCACTTTGTTTTAATTGACCATCATTAGTGAATTCTTACTTAACTTCACATTCCCTTGCTTTTTTCTTGTTCGCCCCCTTCCCTTTTTCTGGCCCTGTTTCCCCACTATCATATGCTCTGCCTTTTGTGTCAGCAGTTAAAGCAAAAATGTTTGATTCTTACTCTCTGGAGCACAGGGCATACGTTATCCCTCACTTCCAACAGATGGAGCTGAGCAAATGAACACAGTGTTCAGAAGACAGCTTAAAAATAACAAGCTCTGAAAAGCCTACTTTCAGTACTGAGGGAACCCAGTTTCTAAGATTTCATTGTTTTTGGTCCCTCATCCCCACTTTGATGGTTAACTTGTGCAAACGAAGAGCTTGGTTTCAAGGAAACTTTTGTTTATTTGAAGTCTAGAAAGAGGAGCTCCTAAAATGTTTCTCCCTGGCAGCTAGAACTCTTCCTCTATAAAAAGGCTGGCAGGGCAGTCTTTCTGCATTCTGTCACCAGCCTTTTGAAGGAAAATATTCTTTCATCTAGTTATAAAAAATGTACATGATTTTCCTTATGAAACTCAGCTTTTGGGGGGCATGTCCTGTATTAATCGCTGAAACCACTGCACATACTTCGGGGGTGAATTTGTCCTTTCTGTTTGTATTACATCTGCCAAGTTAAAAGAAGGGGGCAGCTCACAGCATATGAAAGACTGAAATATAAAATACTATATTCATCTTGCTTGTAATGTCAGAATTCCTACTGAGGTGGTAAAGGTTTACAATTTTCCTACCCTTAACTGCTGAGAAATTAACCATTTCCTGAGAATCCAAAAGCTTCTATTTTTACTTTTCCAGAATATAAATGAATCAGCAGTAACTGAACATAATCTTCAAGCAGCATTGCTGACGTGTTTCCTGTCCTATACAATTCCCGCTCTGTAGTCCGGATTATCCAACAATGTCTATCTTTTAAAATGCTGCTTTTAGGCAATGGTTGGAGCCTTTTCTCCAGATCATGGAAGGGTGTTTCATCATCCGGCTATCATCAGTTCAAAGGGAGTTAGGTACTTACCAGAAAACAGTCTCTTTTCCTCTATTTTATTATAAATTTCCAGATTTATATTTCACTTTGTGTAGTTCAAATGTTGTCAAAGAAGGGAAAACTAAACCCTTTAAATTATAACTTCACAATCTGAGCCTCTTGTGATGAATAAAACATTGCATATTCAAAGTAATATAAAGCACTTACCTTCTCAAGAAAATGCTCCACAGATACAAACAGGCTGAATCTTTCCCTACGAATAGTCAGATGAAATATAATTATTGTTTGGAGCATATAGCCCTTTTTATTTATGCAGAAAGCAGAGTGTATATATTACAGTAACTTCTCTAGCTGCTGTACATCACGATGAAAAATCCAGACGCTCGCTGACTACAAAAACATACAGTTCTGTAAAGGAAACAGGAACTTGGTTTAAGTCATTCAAACCATACACGTTGCCTGTTTAGCAAACCTATGATTTCATCATGTGACTTTAAAGTTCAAATTATCCTCTGCAGAGAGATATTTTAGAACAGAAAAGTAGTGTTTGTCCCTGCCATTTCTAAGTGTGTGAGGCCATCCAGTGGATTTTTTTCCTCTTGTTCATGAAGTCATCCAACATGCATTGGCCAGCCTTTGCATTTACATTTTTTTCTAGTGTGCTGTTTTAAGTCCTACAGGTCTAGAAAAGGAAAAGCCTGTTGAATAAATACCGAGCAAGGCCCGTTGCTTAACAAGGCAAAAACTCAGCACAAGTAGTGCATGTGAAAAATACTAAGATCCCTTCTTAAAAGATAGAGTGTATTTCTATTTTTCTGTGGGTCCCGACTCATGGAACATTCCCAGTATTGTATACATGCAATAAATTATTTTTCCAGATGCTCTGCAATGACCGTGAGGTGTTAAAAGACAGGATTTTGAGCCTGTGGTATGTTTTGGGTCTGGCTCAACATCAGTCTTCTTAGTGTCTCTGTTGAATCGTGTTCTTAAAACCTCAGAAAGGGTTGGCACATGATGTATATTTTCTATGGTGCATGCAGACTTTCTGTCTGGATGCATCAGTAGCATCATGTTTTCTTCGTCCAGCACACAGGGAAGAACATTTTTATTGTAATATTTTAATAATCTGCAGTAGCTTTCACAAGATTGAGAAGATAATTTGTGACCAGTGTTTGAACAGTGCTCTCTTTGTTTTCAGTGTCTTACTTGTTGCACTTTCATTGAAAACGTGGAAAGAGCTAAAAAACTTCAAGAAAATGAAAGAGACAAATATGAATGAGTCTAGATTTCAAAACTGGAGTTGTGGGTTACCTGGAGAAAATAGTTCAGCACTGGGTCTGAATGCCCATGGCACTGCCCCAAATACTTGTTTGAAACTAAAGATGCATATAGAGAGTCTTGGGTTGCAGCAGTGGCCCCAGTTTCAGCTTTCAGGTTGAAGGTTTGTGTTCTTTGTGAAGTAGGTGTACTCCAAAACAGCTCTTCAGTAGTTAAGTGGTTCTGTGAAATGTGGTTTCCTATGAGCTTACACATTATTCAGAACGCTGTAATTCCTATGTTTGGTTTGGATCATTTTAGCATAGTAGTTAGTTGGACCGGGTAGGAATATTCAAACTGCTCTTCACAAAGGTTTAAATTATTTTCAGTAAGCAGTCAGTGAGTAAGGAGTAACTCAAGTGAAGATAAGCATTAACACAGGAGCGTTAGAGCCACATTTCCTGTTACTCAGTAACTGCTTTTCTGACAGTGCAAGGTGTAGTACAGCAGAGCTCTAAGGGAACTTACCCTCTGCTGAGAAAAATTATATAAATAGGACCGGAAAAGCAGAAAGAGAAAAGCTATTTCTTATGTCTCTCATCTTTAAAAAGAAAAATAACCTAAGAGAAAGCTCTCATCTTCAAAATCATGTTCACATTTACAAACATTATTTCATACTTCAGCTGAAACCTGTATGAAGCCTCGTTACTCAGTGGCATTTAGAGGGCAAGAGAACTTATCATACTTTGAATCAATGTCAGGTACCATCTTACAATTTCAGAGCATGTAGAGAGATTCAGAAGACCGTGTCAGACAGTACCTCCTTTTTACAGGTGGAGCGCTTGGCTTCTGAGAAATGTATTCTCCCATGTTGATGGAATAAATTGAAAGAGGAGAAAAAGAGGTTAGAAAATCAAGGTTATCCTACCCCGTATACTTTATTCTCTTAAGATGGTGCTCATTCCCATCTTGGTAGCTGCAGTTCTGCCTCATGTAAGGAAGCAGACAAAACTGAGTCTGAAGTCTTGTAACAGATGCATGGTGTTCTGGCAGCAGCTAACCATGCTGTTACTGTCACAGTTAATGTGTTACTAAAAGAAAACTAAGATACTGCTGTTGTGTGGCCGTGTCTTTCCTTAAACAATTAAATACTTTATTTAATTTGCTTAAATGATCACAGGGTACAAAGTCATATGAGAACAGTGGCAAACAGACTGTTTTGTTGTTTCATAAAACTGCAAAAAGCGGTGGTTAACTGACTGTTTGGGGTGAACCATAATTTCACTGTTATTTTTATCAGTAATTTGTGGATTTATGAATCCTTGGCAGTTAGTATCTCAGTGGAAAAGGCTGATGTATGATAATGATGTTCCAGATAGGGCAGAGGCAGGAAAGGTAGAAGTTGAAGAAGGTAGAGACTCGTGAGATGCTGTGACATTATTTAAGGACAGGCTGTTAACACAAAGAGTTCCAGGAGCCACCTACAGTGTGCTGTGGTGGGCAAACCTTGTTTTTTTTTTTAACACACCTTATTCCTATGGCAAAGTAAATATACCCAGTACTGAGTGACAGATGTTATTATAAAGAAGGCACATGAGAGCCCCTTTTATTTTGACCAAACCCAGTAATTTCTCTTAATTGACCCTGGTGGTCTTACGGATGTGTTTATCAGAGTACAGACCCCTGACAGCAGGTTTAACTTGAAGTCTCTTTCTCTCATGTACATGTACGCCAGGTGAGAGAAACTTCTCTGTCTTCTCTACCAAACGCCATTCGATGCTTCTGGCTTGCTGAAACCATGGAGATTTCAGTCTTTTTATTCTCTGGCTTAAAACAGATCGATCCAGTAAAGTATTATGGAGGTGGTGATACTGTCTTGCTTACCTGCCTTCTGAATCATCATGGTCAGTTGTTCAGCAGGGTCATCACAGCCAGAGACCAAAGGCTGCAGTGAGCTTGCAGTTACTCAAAGGATTGGACTGGATTGCTTGAGGGTAATGATTGTTGTTTGGGAGCTAACCCTGCATGAGAAGCCTGAAGTGTCATTTTAGAATATGTTGTTGTCGTCTTTTGTTCTCAACTAACATATCTATTTTATTTTTTGCCTTTTTGATGTAACGTTATTAAGTGTCCCTGTGTAGTACAATCAGATTGTTTTGGGATATTAACAGGCTTGTTAATGCCCATTCCCCAGGGTATTGTGATGAAAAGCAATTGCTGTGCTACTGGAATTTTGAATTGTGAAATATTCTACACTTATTTCAGATATTTTTCATCAATTACCATGTATTTATGTCTTATTTTTTCCTCTAGTGTTGTTATGTAACAAAAACAACCACAAAACTTGAGTGCGGGATGTTAGCCACCCTTAGTCACAGATTGTTTTGACTCTATTCAGGGACTGAGCTGACATAGGGGAAGCTTTTCTTTGTGGGGTTTTAAGGATACTTGTGACCTTAAGGACACTTGTATTAATGCAGTAACTTAGGATTCCTGGAAAAAGAATTATTTCTTGAGAAGAGCATCTGTTCTAAGGCTTTTGTTACATTATGCACAGTCACCAGTCACTCTGTGAAATAGTTCTTGTGAAAGGCCTTGACATAAAAAAAGGGGAAAAACCCCCTAGCAACCAAAAACCCCCTAAACCAGGAAGGAAGTTGCATGGAGAACCAAGAATTGCTAGCTTGAAGAAAGTTGAAGGAATTTCAGTTATGGATGAATTTTAGAGTACAAAGACATGCAAGATTTTTTTATTATATTCCCTGCATGTTTGGTTTGGGGAGGGCTTTTTGAGTGTGGGTTTTTTAAAATGTAATTCAGTCGCTTACGCTGATTTATGGGGTACACGGAGCTGTGTGTATGTGTAAAATCTGACAGTCTTACTGCCACTGCTTGGAACTCTGTGCTTGGAAAGGGTTAAAAAGGCACAAGTTGGAGATGTGTATACATAAGCACTGGTATTAATAATTACCCATGCCTCAGAGGCTGGTTGTGAATAACGTTTCTTCCTTTTATTCTAGAACAGCCATGCTCTGTGCTGTTCAATTGCTGCCTTTAAATCTCAGGATTGCTTGCCCATTATTCATTATTAGTGATTTTATATTGGCTTATTTGGCTGTTGTTTGTAATGTAAGCTGTTTTATAAAGAGTACTTTATTACTATTACTATTCAGTAATGTTTCTATCAATCACAAAATAAATCCCTCAGTGTGGGTAGATCATCTACATAACTCAGCCATGAGAGCTCAGAAATTGCCTGTGTTTCTAAATAATACTTTTACTTCTGTTAAAGGGTGGAAACAAGCTTTTTCTAATGGCAAGTTTTAGAAGAGAGCTGGTCTCTGCATAGCACTGCAGGTGTTAGAATGATTACTGAATTGCACATAGGCTGACTTGAAAAATTTTGGTAACTTCTGTATTAATTACGTATGAAATCTATTTCATTGTGAACCAGTGAAACCATAACTTAATTAGAAAGCATTACAATGCTCTGGAGCTGAATGGGAATGGTACTTTCTTTGATCTTTGAGCATCTTGTCAACCACAATGACTAGTACCAGATGTTTCATGAAACAATACAAGAAACATATGCTTTTTTAATAAATATTTCTTTCTTGTGAATAATCAGGCCTAATGGCCTGCTTCAATGTCCTTCTGCTGGGTTCAAAACCAAATTAACCGTTGCAGAGATTTGTTTCTTGCAACAGAATATTCTGTTACATGCCTCATCCTCGCGGCCAGTCTGTTGCAGCAGTCATGGTTAATTTTATTCCTCCTTAGAAATACTTCCAGCAATGCCCTTAGTGCCTGCAGGCAGGACCATCCAGTACAAATCTGTGTCTCGCCAGAGACTGGGACTGATTTCTTTTTCCTAATGACTAACTTAAATCCTTTAATTTGTTTTACTGATCTTAACTGCTTTTGGGAACTTCAAGAGTATTCTGCTAGTGACCACCAGATGGAGTTTCTAAAACATCTTTGACAACGACTTTCAGAATTAATTTCAAAATGATCCTTTAAAGGTTTTAGAGATGAGCGAAGGAACAGTTGTGGAAATTCTAACTGTTTCAAGTCAAAATTTAGCTTAAATTTGCAAACGTTATTGCTAAAAATGAAGCTTTTCAATTCATTTTCTAGTTGGTGATTGTATTGGGCTTGAACAGCAAGGGTTTGGTAGCGGGGGTCACGGGGGTGGCTTCTGTGAGAAGCTGCCAGAAGCTTCCTCATATCCAGTGCCAGCCAGCTACAAGGTGGACCTGCCAAGGCTGAGCCCATCAGTGGCACTTCTCTGTCCATGCCTCCAAGTTGGGAGTATTTATGCTGCTGCTTATCTGTCTTTTCATATAATGCATTATCAAGTACTTTTGAGCTATGAGAAAATGGATTCTCCTTCTGGTTATCAATTTTGTTTGCTTTAAAGAGCTTTTGGTACTGTTTTGTTTTTGTTAGCTTGTTTTCTTTGTTTTTTTTTATAGATACATTTGTATATTTAATTAATGAATGCTTTGATAAAAATTTAGTGTTTAAAAAAACATTTTACTGTCTTGATTTGTAACATTGCAGTAACTCTGCCTGCTGTAGACTGAATGATTTTGACCATGCTTGTGAATGTAGTTGAAAGTCCTAATTCTGTAGAAGGAAGGAATATAAGGAAATCACAGACTTCCAAGGTAAGGAAAGGACTCGGTGAGAAGAAAGTGGAGTGACAAAGAGGGCAATAAATCCTCTTCTCTTCTGATGGGAAAAGAACGTATTCAGCATATGTCGAAGTGTTTTGATATATAATGTAAAACTAAAGGAAATACAACAGAGGAAACATTTCACACTTCAGACCTGTTGTCATGGCAGTCGCTGCAGCTGGTTTGGTTCCTTTAGATTGCCTTCACTTGGAAAACATGTTGCATGAGATATTTAAGAAATGGACATGGTTTTGCTTACCAAGAAACTGCAGAAATTAAGCTTGGAGCATATGGTTCAGATTCATCAGTGCACTGAGCACTTTGCAGCTGCAGAAACTTAGGTTTGATAGACAGTGCTTCTCCAAGTGCTCAGCTAACAGCAGAATCGAGAGCAGCACTTGCCCAAACTCTTGGGTTTGTTTTCTCTTGCCAGTCCTGCACTGCTGCAGTTAAGGTCATGAGGTCTCCAGCCTGAGCCCTGTACTGCTTTCATTTTTACTGAGCAGTGATAAATGGGGTTTGTATCAGGAGCACAAAAACAATTTAATTGAATCTTAGGGTTGTTTTTTTTAAAGTGTAACTTCCCTTGAGTTTTCTGGTAGCAGTGTCCTAATTTCTTTGCACCTTTGGGGCCTATTTTGGGGCCTGTTCTATTCTCTGACAGTGAAATGCCTGTTCTCTGTGACTGCTCCAAAATGTGGTTGTGTTCAGTGAAATCTCTTCGCATTGACAGGAAAGGGCGGAGTCTGATGCTGTGCTGGCCTGGTTTATACCAGTGTAAACCTATTGACCTGGTTGTACCTCAACAACTCTTTTTCCTTGCATTTATGGAGAAGTTCCCCCTTTGCAAACCTGTAGGTTTGTTGACTTGCTGCTTAATGAACTAACTGTTCTCATTTAATGGCCTTCAAGTCTATGTTGTGTAAAAGGGGGTTTACTAATCCAGATGGGAAATAGCCTTTTTATGTATGACAGTTATACCTTAAAGCTTTTAGGAATGAAGCAAAAGAAAAATCACCACTCTGTTTGTTGAGAGATGCTGGTTTCTTAATTAAGAGTAACTACTAGGATACTCTAAATACTCTTCCAGTACTCTTTAAACGCTTGTATGGAAGTAAGGGCACCTTGTCAGATACCAGGGTTTGACTAAATGATACAATATTGCAAATTCCATTTTCACAGTTGGTTTTTAAATAGAGTTTGATTTCACTTACTGTATTCCACACTTTACAGAAACATTTAAAGGGAACAAATTAGTAATTTTGGAAGCATAGCCAGATCCATGGTGAGCGATCTTTTTGGTTATCCACAGTGTTTACTGCAATAAATGTGTCATGAGCTACATTATATTCTTAAAGCTAAATTTTCTTTGGGATGCCAAAGGTATGCGGTATTATATTATGTTGTTCTGGGAACCAAGATAATTCCTGCAGGGAGCTGATTTCCGAGATCTCTTTTGTGGCAGTACAAAGGAGAGGAAGTGACAAGGACATGGCCAACGTGTGCATTAATCACCAGCCTTGTATTCTTGTGGTACAATGTCACTCTGTCTTATTAGTTGCAGGACTTTATGCTGAAAAAAGGTATGTTGTGTGCCCTTTTCCTTTCATTCCCAGGTAAATTCCTGCTGATGGACATTGAGATCTTAATGATGTCAAAATTACATCCTGGAAAATCTGTTACCGTGTGTGATTTGACATTGAAGTCATGCGATTTGTTATGTTTTACTTCAGTGAAGCAACACAGGTTTAACCTTCTCTACAATAGGTTTTTATCAAGAGGGCTAAAAAAACAAATGACACATCTCACTGACTGGATACACTTGAACACTTTTTATTGAGAATGTATTAGAGTCAATAGCTCCTTTGTGATGCTTTGCAGAAAGTCCATTTCTAGAGTATTTTGACATCATTTTGGAGGCCATATCTCTTCATTTTAATAGAAACAGAAATTTTCTAGTGATTGATCACTTTCTTCCATTAACTGAAATTATGTCTTAAGAGACCAGCTCAGCTGGATTCTCCAATGGAAGCTTTCGAAAGTAGGGCCTCTACTCGGATAGCCAATGAGGACCTGTCTTGAGCTTGCTACATTAATAATTAAAGCAGAAGCAGAGCACAACATTTTTGTTAGTTCATTGAATTGACTTGATTGGCAGCTCGACAAGAGGGCTGTAAGCCACAGAGCAATTCAAATACCAAGTTTAATTTTGTGAGAAAATAACACTGTTAATAATGGCACTTCACTAGTGCTTAATTTCTAGTATACAGTATATACATTCAGAAACATACAGTACAACTTCCTGCTCAGAGGTTTACATTCCAATAATGTGCTTTAAGAAATAATTTAATAAAATCTTCGTGAATTCCTTATACATCAGTAGGCTGATTTTTTTAATCTTGCATATATACAGTGTTTTACTTATATTTGAATGCAGAATAGATAAGCCCCTATTTACAGTCATCAGAAACCTTCAGGCATTTGAAATGGAAAGGCTCCATTATGAGAACTTTGTATATTAAAGATTTTCCATAAATGTTCTTTCATATGTATGATACATGTATTTCCTGAAGTATTTTACTGCACTTGCTCATCTGCTGTTCTTTATATAGATATTGCAAAGTTCTCACTTTTTGGGATACTGCTTTTTCAAGAAATACCATGTGAGGGTGCTGCAATTAAGTTCAAAATCTCCGTATGAGAATAGCAGCCAGGCAGCTCCATGGCACAGTTTCTTTGAGGCAAGTAATATATCAAATTAACTCTTAGAAAAGTTGAGTGGATATCAGAGTTGCTTTTTAAACTGTGAAATTTGTCTATATGACTGCCATCACATTTAGTATATCTATACATATATATGTATATACTTAACTGCTGTAACAAAAAAAATAGAAAAAGACTAAAAACTGAGTTTTCAAGGGTAAATAATATAAAAACTTGTTCTTTCTCCATCTCTCAAATAGCAGCTTTGATTTGGCTACATAAATCCATTTGTAATGTCAAATCATTGAATAAGATTTGGGTCATCGTAGAAGAGTTAGTCTAATGAAGTAAATGTGAGTGGTGAGCAGTACCGAGTGTACAAGGCCAAGCATGGGTGGAAACGGAGGAGCAAAATGAAAATAGATAGTGCAGAGAAGTGCAAAAGATGAGAGAAAAAGAGAAATGATGAAAGATCCATGATGTGAAACTGTGAATTTCACACGGAGAGAAAGGAACAGAAATAAACGCCACAGTCCTGTGAAAGGCAGGAAGATGTCTTAATAGAAGGGGGAAATAGAAGTAAGGGAGCAAGTGTAAGTTAAAATTGCACTTAATGCTGCCTGTTCAGCCACACAGTTCTGGCAGTGTCCCAGTTCTGGAAGCCTCTATTCACACCAGATAAGCCAGTTCCTCCCTGCTGGAATTTTCCTGCATAATGGGATAAAATTTCTTTAACAGATTTTTACAGGAGAGGTTTAATGTGGTGCATTAGGAAACCTAATTTTCTTCAGATGGGAAGAAGAGGGGCCTAACTGCTTGAGAGTTGTAAGGAAAGATTTCTTTCTTAAGCACTTCTGTGTGGAAGTGAGTTTGAATGTTCAAGATGTGTAGAAATTCACAGAAAACCTCTCAAGGGAAAAAAAAAACAACCAGAGCAGCCAGGGTCATGTCAGCATAAAGGCACAACAAATTAATATGTGAATGGGATACAATGATAAAGGCTTCATTCCTTAACATGGTTTTCATCAATGGGCTAAAACTATGAAGTAAATTGATGTAGTTGTGCTGGGTAGTTTTTGTGTGGAGAAAATACCACAGAAATAGATGATAAATAGTACAGTCTTTAAGGATTAAAAAAAACCAAATTAGTAAGTGAAAAGCTATTTTAAAAGTAAAGAATAAATGGAAAATCTTTTCCACCAGGATGCTGACAACTTAGACATGCTTCTATATGAAGTAGACAAGCAAAGATAGCTATGGGAAGAAATTACTTGAGTAACATTGATGAAAAGGGAAAAGATTTGGAAAGGCTGTCCCTCACCTGCTTTCCACTTAGAATTTAAGAGGACCCTTTATCAGATGAGAATTGTGCTATAAGCAAGGGAAAAGGTTAAACTTGGGGATTTGCACCATGTTTTTTCTATACCAGAGGCTTGAAAAGGCACGATTTTTTGAGTAAAGTCACGTGGAATTCGAGTTGTGTTGCGACAGATTAAGCAATGAAATGATTCTGCTGCGTTGCAGAGTGGGTGACAAAGATGTCTTGCTGCCCCCAAACCAGTGGGAGAGTATACGTTTAACTTCTGTCCCCCTCTGTCATTAATAATGCAATAGCAGCTTAGGAACAGGAGGTTCTTGGGTCAACGTTTCATTGTTTGGTGTTGCGGGTAACTTGTTTCCTGCAGCTTGTTGGTGTTTCTTACATATTTCATATACTCAGTAAAATTTGGCAATCTCGACTGGATTTCTTCATCCCCCTGTGAAATACAGAAACTATACCTTCACTGTGCATTCAAGAATCACACTGGGAGGCACTCCATTTCTGAGAGATCAGCAAAAAGCTGATCCTGACTGGGATTCCTAGATACTATTCCCATTTTTAAACCTTGTATGTATTCAGGGATTTGGTATGGTTTCCAAACCCTCAGTGATACCCTAGATTAAAGAGATGTTAATTTATTTGTTGCAAACATATCCCTTGAAAATACAAAATGTTAATCATAAACATATTTATTATTAAGATAATTGTTACATGAACATATGTGGACCATAACACTTAGCCAGACAGTCTTTACTAGTTAAACTTCGATTTAACTTTGTAAACCACTGTGTCCTTCATTTTAGTATGTGGAACAGGCATCTCTCAGTTCCCTTAGAATTAGTCAATAAATATTTCTGAATTCTTGAAATGTTTAGGATGCAAACAAAGCACTGGAAAACTAAAACATGTTTTTGTTGTACCTAAAAAAAAAATCAGTTTATCATAAATGTTAAAACCTAGGTTAGTTTGTGTGAGAAAATAATTTCTGAACATGATTCAGAATGGGGAACATTCTGAACATGGGGATTCAGTAACAGAGAAAGAAATTAAATAATTTAATTTATAATTCACATTTACTATTTTGACATGTATAATTGGATAACATGATCTTCAGTAAAGATCATCTATATCATCTTCATTGAAAAACGCTATTTACTTCATCAAGGATAGCACTATTACTTCTTTGTACAGAAAGTAAGGTAATACCTTTTCCTATACAAGATACAAGGTGCTGTGTCTTCAGTCAAGACTTCAATAAACTGCTTAGTGATTTCTTCAGACAGGAATATTAGAGCGATGAAGACAGAGTTTTTGCTTTGTAACCCATTCAGTGCACCGAAAGTATTAGATGTCACAGGTATTACAGCACATAGGCCAGAGTCTCACAAGATTTCAGCAAACAGTTAACTATTTGAAAATTAAGACTGTTCCATTGAACTGTAATGGAAAGCTCCTTCTAGCCCATTGCTTGGGACTCTCACATTAATGGCTCTGAGTACCAACAAGCGAAATCACAGTCCCAGTACTGGTACAGCAAGTACTGCATTAACAGAGCAGCAGAGGGTTTTTCCATACCTACGTCATGACCTGCTGTACTACTGTGTGCTCATGAGAACACCCTTGATTCCCACAGTGTATCTTCTTAAGCAGACGTCGTAATTTGTTGGGAAAGTTTTTGTTAATGTATCTGTAGAGCAGAGGCATTACAAAGCTGCTTGAGAAAGCCAAGAATTTTGACAAAATCTTGGTAAAATGTAGTATTCGACTGTAATTCTCATCTGCAATTCTTCCTCGTGCATTCGTAAATGTGCTTACCAAGAGAATAACGTAATAGGGCGTCCATAAGGTAAACTGTGTACAGACTGTGGCAATCAAAAGCCTGTGCACTGATGGATCTAATCGTCCAGTGTCTTGATCCAGTGGTGTTGCCTCTTTGCGTATTCGCAAGATTAATACAAGTGCATACAGTACAGCAATAGCTGGTACAACATACCCAATAAAGACCATAATGGCATCTGCTGCTTCTTTGTTCTGCATCTTGGAACATTCAATTATTTTAGTGGATACATGATTGCAGACATAGAACAGGAGAGATGAAAAACTTGTAAGCATGGCACCACCCCATATGAATCCACAGACGTGTTTGGTGTTGTACACGCTTGACATGTAAGTTCTAGGTAGAGCACGTTCAATGTAGTAGTCCAGACTGAGTAATGTAGTTGAGTACATGGTAACTAAAGATGAGACGTTGAATAAAATAAGTAAGGTAATATAAACTTCATTGTTAGAATTCCAGATGGCCCATTTTGTATTGGCAAGACCTAGAAGATACATTGGTGCCAGAGTGTTTATGATGAGGCCGGCAATGGCAATGTTGACAAAGTAAACATCTGGCATGGTCATAGTAGCTTTGTTGTAGAGGTTAACTAGGACCAGCAAGCCATTGTAACAAAGGCCAACTGGGAAACATATAATGAGGTAGAGTAGGGAAAAGATGGAAAGCACAAGGTGGAAGTCATGGCAGAGATGCTGGTCCTCACTGCTCTCGGTACTGTTGATCAAGGCTTCGCAGCTCCACATAGTGATTTTAGCTTTTGTATCTTCTCTGCTGGTTACCAGCTTTTCTGTAGAGAGAGAAATAGTAAAAGTATTGTTGAAATACTATATTGTAAGTGAAATGCAATGTAGAATGAAGAAAACATTCTAAAGATAGACATTATGTGCTTCATTTAACTGTTCAGTTTAAGGTCAGTGACTGAAATGCCTTTTGATCATGTTAGACTGTAAGAGAGTCACCTGTGATTCAGAATTTCATGAGACTAGTACATGTTCTGAACTACTAATTTAAGTGAAATTAATGGCAAATGAGTTGATACAGGACACTCAACAGAAGTAAATAAAATATACCTTTAAAGTAAGTACAGATATAATACACCTGAAGTACAATGTGTTTTAAAATTATTAAACAGTACCTTTTATATAGTGAATAATATAGAAGAGTGGCTGCTGAAGAATTGAAGGCTATAAGCTGAAGAACAAATCTTAGCAATAAGATCAAGAATAGAGTTCTCTAAGGTGTTAAATAAGCTTTATGTCGAAAAGATAGTTTCTTAGGAGGCATTTGCAAGGCAGTACTGTGGATGTATACTGTATCACTGATAAAACTGACAAAGACTAGAGGGAACTGGGAAATGAGGTGAAGGGGTTTTTTATAGGTCAGTTTGTAGTGAGACTTCCGACCTATAACCATTTAGTTGGAAAAAAAACAATGGACCTCTGTAGTCTAGGGAACATAATATCAGGGCAGCCTGACTTTCCAAAAAAGCAAGAATCAGCTATCATTTCCTCTTAAAATAGCTTGAATTCTTTAAAAACTATGCTACTATCAGTAGTTGTTGTCCAGCTATCTTTGCTTTTGTAAAGAGATAACATTTTAACTGAAATCAGTGAACTTCAAAGCAATCATGAACAGTCTCTTTCCAAAATGCAGAAATGAGAAATAATCTTTCAAATACAATTCAAAACATCCACAGCCTTAAAACCGTGGTTCTTATTCCCATATCTGGGACAGCACAGAATTTATGCAGCAGGTGATTTCCCATGTCACGTGTACTCTGATACTGTCAGATACTCAGCATTGTGTGTCTCTCTTTCAGCACGTATAGGAAAGTACAAATACATATACCTGCATTCTTTCCAGAGAGAGAACAAGATTTAATCAAATCCACAATAAACATTGTGCAATTAAAATGAATGTTACTAGACAACATGCTATACTCCATGAACCACAGGGCTAAATTATATGGTATGGGTTTTGTAAGCATATGGATACGTGGTTGCATCTCTCTAGTGCTAATCCTGTGACACTTCAACCATAGTACAGAATGTATTCCAGAATCATGTCAACTTCCATTTTTTATTTTCCACTGAAGTTGTTTTGTGTGCATTTTTCTTCTAAATACCATAGCCCGTGCCAGAAATCAGGCTAAAAATACAGTAAGTTTAACTGGGCAAAGAAATTTTTATTCCACTGTCATATGTTAGATTTCCTTAGATAAGTGGCAGCAGCACAAGATGCAGTTCTATTGTTTTTAAAACTTGCTTTCTCACCTTAGAGGAAACGCTTTGTTTTCTCAAATCAGTTCTTTAGCTATAGTATTGACATGAGTAGAAAGTACAGTATCTTTGTGTTGTCTTTCAGTCGTCACACTTCTTGAGCACTGAAAACCACTCAGTTTATTTTCAGGAAGCATCTGTTGTTTTAAGTTTTTAAGAAAGAAAAAGAAAAGCTGTTTTGCACAGTTGAAGGCAACTGGAGTTACATCTCATTGAACTGTTATGACTTGATCCAACCAAAGCAGCAGACTGGAACTCGATATTGCAAATATATGCACTATGGTGAGTGCAAGGGTGACTAAGCAAAGGCATGGACACAATCACGTAATTCCATTATGTAGGTTTATCCTTAAGCATGTAGCTTTGATTACTCCAGACTGAATTACATCAGCCACAGAATACCTGCCTGTATATTGTCTCAGAAGATCAACAGTCTTTGCTACCATGCTTTGTATTTTATAGAGCAGGAGAATGTCTGGTTTCACAGTGTTTTAGTAATTACCACGTTCTTCTTTACATCCTCTAACTGCAGTTAAATAAGACAATCCTATATTAATGGTAGAAATGGTTGGCAATTCATTCTGTTAAATAGTAACCGTGCCAAATTGCAAAACTTACCTCCGAAATTACAAAACTTACCTCCAAAATAGGTAGGAATAAATTCCAAAGTAAAAATATTTTCAGAGGAAATTCTGTTGATGACTTCTAAATTACCAGATGAGGTATTCTAGCCACTAATGCAGAAATCACCCATTTTAAATTGTCACTTACCTCCGAAGGCACTGAACCTGTTTGCTCTGCTGCCTGGGCCCAACTCAGCATTTCTTACCCAGCCGTGTCTCTTGTCATTTTAAAGGCAGTTGTGTCTCCATAGACCACGTCTGGGTAAGTCCTTCCGATGCTTCGGGCGCAGTTGTTTTACCCGATCAATCAATACTAAACCCTTTCTCCAGTCAAAAGTACATTTGCAGTCCCAGGTTGACTCTGTTGCATAAGTGACTGCTGCAGTGCTCTTGTTTACTGTGGCCTGACTCAGCCTTCCCTAATGCTTCCCCAGGTCTTGCCTGATTTTATACTTCTGTCACGCTGAAAATTAAAGTCAGAACTCCAAGCGTAGAAGGCAAGAGCGCCCTGGCAGCTGCCGCTCTCTCTCCAGCCTGCCTTTCCCACGGCCCCAACCTCGGCAGCGCTGCTGTAAAGCCTCTTACCTTTAATTCACGTTTCACATTCCTCCGCGTTACCGGATCCGCACGCCTTTGATAAGCAGCGTTTCCGAGGAAGGAAGCTGGCTGCACAGCCCTGCCGTGTTTCGCTCAGAGAACATGGTGATCGCCTCCCACCAGCGCCTGGGCAGCGTGCGGCTCTGCGTGCCTGCCTGCGCTGCACTTGTTTTGCCTCTGTAACTTACTCGCAAGTTTCTGCTTGGCTTGGCAGGCGGCAGGCCCCTCCCTTTCCCTGTTTACAGCCAGTTTGAAGAAGTGAGAGGCTGTGCTGCGAGGGGAGTGAGCTGCTGAATCCAGCTCAGTTCAGTCTCTGGGTTTCAGATTTACTGCTTAAAATATACGGGCTGCCGGAGCCCGCAGGTTTGTTATGGTATTGTCATCTGCGCTGGGGTTCTCCGGGGACATTGGAGGGGCTGCTCCATTCCCTTCAAGCGCGATCAACAGCTCTCGGTCAAGAGCGTGGGTTTTATTTAACCCTGGATGAGAATATATAGCTTTGAGGTTTCAGTTTTATAGGCCATACACCCTAAACAATCAGTGTACAGGTGCTCGTGCTGCTTGCAAAGGTGAGCTTGCTTGTACCAGGAGCTAGTAGAAAAGGTTTCTGAGCATTTACTTTGAATTTGGAGGTTCTTCTGGTGCTCTGAAAAGGCTTTACAGTGTGAGCCTCATTTGGTGATGGTGTTACAGATTCCATTCTGCCTCCTTTTGGAAAAGTTGAAAAGACGATTGTTCTCAACAGTGTTTGCATGTCACTCGCAATTAATGGATGTATTTATTCTGTGTATGTTCTCTACATGTTTAAAATGAATCGTTTCTTGAAAGAGTTTTTGAACTCTTGGTTGGTAATTCATCTAATTCATCCCATGCTGAATTCTGTTCTGTGGTTGTCGATTTATTTATATGGAACCTTCTCAGATTAATGAACTAAAGTTACTATCTTCAAAGTATGTTTTTTAACTGACACTGTCAACCAAAGCTGAGAGCAGCCTTTTTCAAGACAATTAGTCTTATAGTTAAAGATTCTGAGGCTTTATTCCATAGCAAATAGACACCCATGAAAACTCCCTTAATTAAAAAGCAGGTGTTTATGGGATAAATGCCAGAGAAACACTAAAAGTGGTTATTCAGTATTCAGTTTGTGTTGAGTTACTCTATCTGAGTGCAGTTGGGTTTGTTTTTTTTCGGCAAGGTCTGTACTTCTTGGTTTGTTTTAGGTAATTCATTATGAATATTGTAAAACCAATACAACTCTCACATGGCAGGAAGTTCCTACACTCCTGTTTGATACATAGTCCACAGACAGAATTGTGTATGTACTATGGATAACACTTTACAAACTGGCATCAAGCCTTTGCTGCCTTGAAACTTTAGGAGAACTTGAATCATCCCAAGTTCACTGGGGAAACAATAAGGTAGGAAAGGTATTAGTGTAGAAGTACTTCTAGAATTCTGATACTTGGCCAAGCACCCATTTCTTTACATGCCATAGAAGGTGAAGGTGGTTTTATATAGATAAAAATTTGCACAAGGTACTTAAGAAAAATTTCTTAGAATACTACACAAAAAGTTAAGAGCACTTGGTTGCAGAGATTGTTTTAGAAAAAAATACATAAAATGAACTTTTAATGAGAAAAATTAATGAAGTGCTGCTTCCTTATATTACAGAGTTCCTAGCTACAGTCTGTTTTTTCAGACATTTTCATTCATGCTGCAGCACCAAGTTGCAGAGCAGGTTGGTTAACAGTTTCAAGGATGACCATTCCACGCTCTGATTATTTTATTTGACTTAAAAAGCCCCAAACCTTTATCCAGCTGTAGCAGTATATCTTGCTCTGCAGATTTTTTTGTTTAGACAATGAATGATTTGTCTCCTTGGTCTGCTATCGTCTGTATGTGATATAGCTCTTATCTAGATTATCTAACCTCTAAATATGTGTTTTCACAAGCTGTAATACCTTTGGCAACAGCCATGTATGGTTTACAACGAGGTAAGTCTCTAGACAGGCCTAAGACTCCTACTTTCATCAGGTCTTCTGGAGTTCTCACAGGATCTCTTAATTCTTACAGAGACTGAAGTACCATAGGGGAAGGCTGAGCGCTGTGCTGAGCATTGCTGCATGGCACAGGTTTACTTCAGATCAAGACTGAGGAAACTGAAAAGCTTGGCCAGAAGTGTTGCATATATGTATAAGCCATTGTTAGCTACTCATGAGGGCTTGAAAAGTGCTTATTGAAAGTGTTACGCTAAATATTACTTATGGATTATTTATTAATATTTTAAATAAAGGGTGACTGGTGTTTCTGGAAAACGGCATACCTGCAATTAGTTGTACCTCAAGGGGAACACACTGAACTCTCAAGTGTGAGAGAATGAAGTGTCACACTGTTGTTGCCTCTCAATCTGAGTAGCATGACATATTTTTAGGCTTACTAGCTTATATACATACCATAGGGATTAACAGAAGACTTGTTGGCTGGATATACAGAAAAGTAAAACTAGATTGCCTAGGTTAGTTGTGAGGGGAAAAAAAAATGCGGCAGTGCAGGCAAGTAGGTTCCAGAATATACTTTCCTTATGCAGTTGATGAGTTGCTGCTGTTTACAATACAATGATACAGCTCAGATAAAATGCTTTTAACGTTAGTGGAGAAGAAAATCCTGCTTGATTCTGGGTGCTGGGCTGAAAAACAGGCCCCTTCAAACCCTATCATTTATGTCTTTGTGGTGCAATCCTTGACCAGTTTGGCAGGTGCTGTGTTATAATCAATAGCTCTTCTATTTTACAGTGTAGTTAATTCAGTGCAGTATAATGCGAAAGAAGTCATGACTGAATAACAAGAATGCCTCATATAAAGTAGCATTGAAAATAACTCAAATTTCCCTTTGCAGTAGGAACTTGCTTTAGTAGCAGCATAACAATAACTAAAATTTCTTTAAGAAGTCCTTTGACTATTGCCTACTCGTGCTAAATTCTGCACAATTTGAGTGCTGGGAGCCCATTTCCAGCTTTATAGCTTAGTGTCTTCCCCTGATCCAGTGTAATTCCTTAAGTGTTCATTCTGTCCAGACATAAATGGTTGTGCACATTTCCCCCTGTTTTGCTATTTTTTAAAAACCCTTGTTTTTCACATCTGCCTTGCCCTTGTTTTCCTCTTTATCTCTCCCTGATGACTCGGTTACAGTTAATGCTGCACCTCCCATCATTTGCTCATATGACACATATACGGTATCATAGCAGACTTATCACAGGATTTCTAAGTATGATACTGTTTCACCTCTTAATTCTTCGTTACCTTTCCCATGGGAAATCTCAGGCTGTTCTTAGGGGTGTCAAGTCAACAATAAAAATCAAATTCCCAAGAACCATAAGGGTTATTTCTGTCACATGTTGAATGAGTACAGAGATACTCATGCTTCTCTGGTCATTGCATTTTGCTTTGGTCATCCTTTGAGGATGCTCGCTCTGCTTTCCCAGAAATTCTGACTATGTCTTTCATATGTTTCATATATGTCTCCTGCCTGTGGCCCTCTCTCTCACTTGCCAGGTGACCTTTTTATTGTTCCACAGATGTTGGCAGCCACTGTCACTTGTTTGTTCCTTTCATTCTGTAAGCGCCGTCTTTGTAGTAAATCACTTGCATAGCAGCTACCTGGTCATCCAGATCCCACTTGTGCCATGATAAACTGCTTACTGCCCCTGGCAGTTAACCTTTTGTTTACATTATTATTATTATTATTTTTATATAATGCCATATAATATAAAACTATTAACAATGTCAGTTACACATTTTGTTTCTATTTACATTGTTCATCTCTTTGGGAATCTGTTATAAGGCCATGGTCAGAAGCAAGTCTCTGCAAATTACTGGGTGGTAAGCATCAACAAGTGAGTTCAGATATGCCTTTGGTTTGGAAGAAAGAGGAAAACTTGATTTTAGGGTACGGCCACTGTTTCCCAAGATGCACATCTTCTATATATTAGGTTAGAACTGAACAATTTATGTCTTCAGAGTTCATAGACAATTGCTCACAACAACATGTAGCCATCAGCAATGGATAACTGTATTTGCTTTCTTTTCTCTTTCCTCACTCCCCCTCAGTTTTTAAGCAGCTTAAAGCTTATGAGAACAGATAATACCCACCAATAAAGAAAGACAAAAAAGATCAACTACTCTGGAAACCATAATAAAAACTGCCCAGGGGTGTTTTTAAGAGCCTGTTACATCTGTTGGAGAATGGCATTGTGGTAGTGGTGTTTAAGGTTGTAATAACAAAGTGCTACGGGGTAGAAGGCGCAAATGAAATTCCTGTAGAATGGGGAGACTTTTAGGTTCTGTGGAGAGGAGATAGTCCTGCATTAAGGCCACTGAAGAGTTGCATGGGAGGAGCCCCGTGTTCAGACACAGATGCTATCTGCCAGGCACATCTGCCACTCCAGATAAATCCTCCTGTTCTCTGCTGTTTATTCCTTTGTAATGGAGCCTGTGCAGGGGCTAGGCTGTCGGTGGCTGTGCCCTCCTTGCAGCTGCTCAGTGCACTTTGTGCACTGGGGCTCTGCATGGGTTAACTCCATAAACCCCATCATGTTTTGCCAACGTCTCGCAGTATCCTGGTATCAGATGAGTGTGACTGATCTCCTGCTCCACCTCTTCCTGACTTAGATTTATCACTGAATTCCGAATGAGCTTCTATATGGAAAACCTGACAAACCTTTTCTTTTATAACACTTATGTGCTGCGAGAAGGAATTCACCATAGAGTGAACAGTGCGGCTTTTCATACATCACAGATGTATTGTGGGTTAAGATTTCATTACTGCAAAAAGTGAAATGCCTTAATTTTGTGCAGTTCTAAACATAAGGTATTCCTTCAGGCAGCATGAATTTATGCAGCAGTTACCTGTATTGATTTACAGCCTTAGCTGCCTTGGTTTCGGAAATGAGATACATTTCTGAGATGCCCAGCTATCACTAGGTAATGTTTTCCTTAAAAACTGAGTCATATGAAAACCAAATCCCCTGTAGTTTTCCTGGTATTCATACTGGCTCCCAGTAACTTATGGTGTGTTAAATAACAGGAATAATTAGAATGAATGTAATATTAGAAAATAGGCATCATTAGATGCTTTGAGTTCCAGATTTGATAAAGGTGACTGCTTGGAGTACAA